TGAGGAACAGGGGTCATACCATTTTTGGTCAAGAACTGTCGTACAGACAGGGCTGTGTGAGCAGGGGCATTGTCATGATGGAAAAACCAGTCACCCGACTGCCACAAATCTGGCCGCTGAGCTCCAAGTCACTCCCGACAATTCCACAATTTCTTCAACGGTCTGTTGTCGATCTTCCTTGATGATTTCACGAATTTTTTCAACATTTTCATGTGTTCGGGCTGTGGAAGGACGACCAGAACGAGGTTTGTCATCAACTGACATTTCACCATTTTTGAAATGGGAAAACCACTCAAACACTTGAGTTTTCCCCATAGCATCGTCCTTGCACACCGTTTTTAACATTTCAAGAGTTTCTGTTCCACTTTTCCCAAGCAAAAAGCAGAATTTCACCGCCACACACTGTTCACGAAACTCAGCCATTGCAAAAATGACGATCACACAAAACAGTTGTCATGATAAACTCTGCCGAAACTAGTCCTTATCTTCTGAAGCAATGGTAGTCGGCTTATCGACTCATGAATGTTAGCTCTATGCGCTCATAGCGGCAAAACGCAGTACTACAAAAGCTCTGCCCACAAAAAAATTAGTTCGTTTTTTTTTTGGTACCCCATCATATATAGAAGGATGACAGTAATGATATAAAAAAGTTCTCATTATCATACCTGCTTGGCCTTTGTCTGGTTGTGTCTGGCCTGTACCAATACGAGGAGCAACATAACCACTAGGAGGCTCAGCTGACTGCTGTGACTGTGGCTGTTGTGGTAGCCCCTTTTGTTTTTGCTTCTCTGTTTGGTGTGATGGCCCAGCATCACTACCACCAACTGCTCCTAGCTGAGGTGGTGGTGCTGGTTCCTCCTGCTGCTGCTTCTTCTTCTTCTTCTTTTGCTGCTGCTGTGGTTGTGATAGTTCCACTTGTTTAGCTTCACTTTCTTGTTTCTCAGCAGCACTTTGCTCTGGCTTCCCCGGTTGGTCCCCACCTTTCTTTCCTAAAATAACACAGAATACTCTATGTTCCCGTATAATATTTTTTGGCTAATTCTGTCATACTGCTTATACTGAAGCATTTATTATACCAAAGTACTAAATTACAATTTCTTAGTGACAGGTCATATATAGTGTACACCCCAAGCGATATGGACATTCAGGTCATGGAATTTTTTAACACTTCTGGAAAATATAAATGACCAAAAAATGTATCATAAAAATAAAAAATAAAACTGATGTTAGCATGTTAATACTCTCTTCTATTACACATGCCACCACACCACTACATGTTTTGATCTATACGACCACCTTTGGGTGGTTACACAAATGTACAATCACTGATAGTAAATTTATGTTCAACTAAAATGGATCTGAATTAGTCAAATATAGCAAAATTTAGATATATCATTTAAATTTGTGCATCATGTAAATATCTTAAGACATTAAAGAAAATAATCATTCCATAAAAGGCAGAAGTTTTTTGATAGGCTGAGTGAGTATCAGTTTTGCAAGGACTATCATTGGTCCAACCATAAATTCGCATTGCCATAGCTCAAGCAGTTAGTCACTGGCTTCCCACCCTGGTGGCCTGGGTTCAATGCCGGGTTGGGTAAAGTGGGATTTGTGGTGGACAAAGTGGCACTGAGGTAGGTTTTCTCCGAGTACTTTGGTTTCCCCTGCCAGTCTTCATTCCACCAACTGCTCCACAATCACCCTCACCTATCATCTGGGGCTGGTACAATAGGCCAGAAGTGGCCGCAGTACAAGGGACTTCGTCCCACCTCACTAGCAATAACAAAAATCATTGGTCCAATGTAACCACTATTTTACATGATGCTTAAACTTAATCAATTTTTTGTAAGATTCAAGGTTTTCACATTGGTGAATATGAAGAATGCCACCTTCTGGGATGTGGTGCCATGTAGATCTTGTGTGATCTGATGTTTCAGAGGAATGTATCACCTCCATCTTCAGACTAGAAAAATCCTGAGCAAGGAACCAGTGTGAGCAGGTGGCTGCTGACTGGAGGCGATATGTTCCTCCAAAACATTGGTTCACACAAGGTCTACATGACACCACATCCCATAAGACTGCATTCTTCTTTTATCAATTTTCTCAAGAATGACTCACCATACAAAGAAATAAGATGTGTCATAAAATATACAGTTCATTTAAGATCTGCAACTATTATTCAAAACATTTTTAACACAGACAGTACTTAATAAAATACGATATATTATCAACAGTAGTAATGCAAGCATCTGGAAAATGTGTATTCAACTGGAGCATGGCTCTACATTACTGTTTACCTCAGAAGAAGAAAAATTGACACTGTCTTTGATACATTATCAATTGCGTGGGAAGATTGCACAACGCATGGCCTGCACTGGAGATCTCTAGGAAAGAAGAGCTTATTGCTGAGAGGGTTGTTGGTGGTCATGCGTCAGGTTTAAGCAGTATTCCTGTTATAAACAATGCTAGGGTGTCTCCTTTTTTAGATTAAATTCAAAAGCAGCAAGATGCCTAACATATATTAAATGCAGTCCAGTAGCCTTTGAAATTCACAGACAAAATGCAGAAACATTAAATTGAATAAATATCTTTCAACCAAAATATCAGGAGGCTTGAGAAGCAAAAGTGATGAATTACTACACTCTTTTGAAATAGACAACATAAACCCTCACTTATTATGTCTAAGAGAACATCACATGGTTGAACAGGAATTGCTGCTCCTCTCAATGAATGGTTACCTGTTAGGCTCAAGTTTTTGCCTAAAGAGCCTACAGGGGAAAGGAGTGTGTATTTTTGTTAAGACAGATCTACATTTCGGTAAAATTGACATTTCTCATCACTGTAAGGAGCAAGACTTTAAAATCTGGGCAATACAGCTAGCAACTAAAACATCTTACCCAATTATATTAAGCCTGTACAGAGCCCCTTCAGGAGAGGCTAATGAATTTCTAAGCAGACTAGATGCAACTTTAAAATATCTGTACAATCCAAAGTCTGAGTTTATAATCTGTGGAGACATACACATAAACTATTTAAATGAAAGCAGTCAGAAAAAACAAGTAAACTCTTTAATAAGGACATACAATGTCACACACAGTGAATTTCGCAAGAAAAGTTCAAAATTCCTCAAGCACAGCCACTGATAATATCTTTATAGATAATGCAAGGTTAAGCTCTTCTTGTACATCTCCTATAGTCAACAGCCTTTCTGATCATGATGCTCAATTTCTTACAGTAAATAATATTGTGACATGTCTAATCATTGCTGGGCAATAGGAGGTGGAATGAGTTACCACAAAGACAGACCCTTGATAAATGGTTGGTTGCCAAGTTGCACAACAGTGGAAATGAGGTTATGCAACAGTAAGGAAAGCGGTGTTTGTCGGTACCGAGCCGAAGCACGCTGGTTACTATGCAGCGTTGCCCAGCAACGCCTCTGTAAACACAGCATCACGCAACAGAGGAGCCTGTGCAGTGACTGTTGCTAGGCAATTGGTAAGTGCGACGTCATGCAACAGTGAAAGCTGTCTGTAACTGTTTACTGTGTTGTCAGTGCAGAAGCTACATAACAGGAGTATTCATCAGTGAGAGGGAGGAACCAGTGAGTTGCAGTCTAGCATTCACCGGAGTGAATGGAAGCAGGAGAAGTAATTGTGATACTGCCGATGGCAGTAGTTGTGAGATTGTAAATTGTGTAAATGTAAGAGTGAATGTGCAATAAATCCGGTAATCCAGAATGGCGTGAAGTTATTTGTCATGTGACATATACCCAACATGTGACAATATTATTGTGGAAGTAAATTCAGCACCCTTTGAAACAGAGAACCAGAAAAATAAATAGTGAAACCATTGCTCAATTTCAACATCTATTAGAAAATGAAACATGGGAACCTGTTTTCAAAAATAAGGATACAAATTATAAGTTCAACTCTTTTTTATATATTTTTCTGAATATCTTTGAAGCCAGTTTTCCTATGCAGAATAAAAGTGTAAGCAGAATAAAAAACCACTGGATTACAGAAGGAATAAAAATATCTTGTAAACATAAAAGGTGTCTGTATGTAGACAGCAGGAGCAGTAATAATCCCTACATGAGAGCATACTACACAAGGTATTGCAAAATCCTGAGTTATAAAACAGCCTAAAAGGCAGCATTACTGTAGGCTTATAGTAGAATTGAATAATCAGATAAAAACAACCTGGAATATAATAAAATATGAAACAGGAAAATCACATCTGACTGAACAGGCACCATCTCTCCTTATAAATGATAAAAAAGCTGAGGACCCAGGAGAAATTGCAGATGCCTTCAATACTTTTTTTCTAAAATTTACAGAAAATCTAAACTTGCTTTAGGAAGTGGGAGATAATGTCATTTCATTTTTAAGAGAGGCATTTCCTAGAAAATTAAATGGCATTGAAACCATTCCAAACACTGAAACTGAAATAAAAAGTATAATAGATTCCCTCAAAACAAAAAACTCTTCAGGTTATGATGGAATAACATGTAAAATTTTAAAAGTTTATGCATCTCTAATCAGCAGTCCATTAACGCACATCTGTAATCCCTCACTAACCACAGGAATCTTCCCTGATCTTAAGATTTCAGTAGTAAGACCACTATATAAAAAAAGGGGACAAGACTAGTATGTCAAATTACAGGCCAATTTCACTGCTAACTACTTTCTCTAAAGTACTTGAAAAACTTGTGCACAGTAGGTTAAGCCACTATTTTCAGAGTAACAATATACTAGTCCCAGAACAGTTTGGCTTTAGGAAAGGAATTTCCATTGAAAATGCAGCCTTTAAGTTAACAGACAGTGTGTTGAAATGTATGAATCAAAAAATGCATGTTGGTGAAATATTCTGTGACTTGGCAAAGGCTTTTGACTGTGTAAATCATTACATTTTATTAACTAAATTTCCTTCATTCAAGGAACATTAAGTTGGTTCAGATCCTACCTAAAAGATAGAAAACAAAAGATTGAAATAAAATCATCAAATTCAATCCAAAGTACCTACTCAAACTGGGGAATAATAAAACATGGAGCTCCACAGGGGTCAATTTTGGGGCCTTTGCTTTTCATAATTTATATAAATGACCTCCCTCCTACACAAAGACCTCATCAATACCTATAATATTTGCAATGACACTAGTGTTATAATTTCTTGTAAAAATTTAGATGATTTCTGCATTGTATTAAGCAAGGTTCTTTCGCAAATGAGTAAATGGTTTTCTGCAAACAAGCTGTCCCTGAACCTAGAAAAAACAAATGTAATAAAATTTATAAAAAAAAACAAAAACCTCACCACAATATCCATTAATCACAGGATATAATGATAAATATATAGAAGAGTGAGTAAACACAAAATTCCTTGGCTTGCATATTGATAATCATTTAAACTGGAAACCCCGTATTGATCAGTTGATTCCAAAGTTAAGTAGAGCATGTTATGCAGTTAGATTCACGTTACATATTAGTAACACTGACACTCTCAAATCAATCTATTTTGCTTACTTTCACTCTTTAATGAAGTATGGAATAATTTTCTGGGGTAATTCATCTGACAGTAAAATGGTATTTACATTGCAAAAGAAAATCTTATAATTCCTGTAGAGAACTATTTAAGAGACTACAGATCTTAACTTTTCCTTGTGAATATATATATATATATATTCATTCATCAGTAATCTGTCAGATGACAGGTCCACAGCCTCTTCCAAAACAGTTTCTCCACTTAATGCGATCTTCTGTTTTTGGAAAGAGACTATCCAGGAAAAGTGATAATGTGGTAGTTTTTCCATTTGCTTTCCACATCGCAGTACAACAGCCGTTCAAACCACTCTGGTCACGCCTGTTGCTATACGAACTTGAACCATCTCGAGCATCATTTTCTCTGTGCTTCAAGTCGCCGCTGATGACGCTGCTTCCGGCATCAGTTTTCGGTGTCTCTCTTCGTCTGATGCCTACCCTTTGACCTGTCCAGCCAAGGGAGGCCCTGCCAGTAGCTACGCTACCGCTGGTATAGCTCTCAGGGTCCTTGGCATACTCAAACACCCTCACCACGATAAGGTGGAGACACCAACGAGGGGATATATATATATATTCATTAATAAACTCCATTACAAATAACAAAGAACATTTTCAGATGAATGCAGATGTACACAGTGTTAACAAAAGTCACAAACACTGTCTTCATAAACCAAGTGCTAACGTCTCATGCTTTTAGAAAAGCACATATTATGCTGGGATCAACATTTTTAATAACCTGCCATCTCATCTCAAAGGTCTTTTGAATGAAAAGGCACGATTTAAAATAGCACTGAACGATACTTATATACACATTCATTCTACTCTGTTGATGAATACCTATTGTCTAGAAAATAACTTATGTATCTTTAAATAGCCTTGTGTGTAGTCACTGTGTATTCTTGGTTTCTCTTGTGTGAGAACTCCATTGGGTCTGTACATATGTTTTGTATTTACATGAATATTCCGCATCCTAGAGTCACTGTGACTAACTCTGGATTCATGGAATGCAATGTAATGTAATGTAATGTAATGTAATGACGTGCCTCCATTCCTTGGCAGGCCGTCGTCACTCCGACCGGTATCACTATCGGGACCTCTTCTCGTTGTGCCGCCGCAGGTTTCGCGTCCACTGGGCAGGCCACCGTCTCTTTTTGGGTAATCGGCATCAATTCATCTGCAGGTTCACTGACCGGTATCACTGCGACGTCATCTACAGGGATCTCTTCTTGTTGTTCCGCCTCAGGTTTCTTGTCCACTGGGGCCGGCTTTTCTTCTAATAGATGTGCCTCCATCCCTTGACAGGCTATCGTCTTTACGTCTCTTTCGGGTTTAAATGCGTACACCATCTCCATGTGGCTGGTGCTCATTATTTCTCGCATGGCTTCCATCCGTGCTTGGATAGCTCTTGTTTCTGTTTGGGTGGCTTCCATCCTTTCTTGGATAGCTCGTTTCTTCTCTGGTGGCTTCCGTTTCTGCGACCAGCTCTTCTCGCATGGCGGCCATCTTTCCTCGCCAGGCANTATATCGCGACAAATAACTTCACGCCGTATTTTATATAGCGAATTTTATTTCACATTCGCACTTACAATCACCCAAATTACAGATTTACGATTACTGCTATCTGCAGTATCACAATTAGTACACTCCAAACGCCACAATACAACTGACTGGTTGCTGGCTAACTCGGAACTAACTCGGAGGTAGCTCGAGGACTGACTCGTAGGTAGCTCCAGGACTCGCTGACTGGCTCAGTACAACTGACTGTGAATAGCCTTCGTTGCAACTTATGTAGCCTTGATCGGACAATTGTCGTCTGGTGCCTTGTTGCTAGCCACGCTGTCCGGAAGTAACCGCTGTTACTACTTGGTGACGTCACCGCTGTTGACTCGCGTTGCCTAGCGACCAGGATGCTAGGACTCGGCTAACATCGGCTCGCTTCGGCTTCGCTCGGCGCATCACGGCTGGCGGGGGGTGGGGGAGGCCTCATAGCTCAGCATGTCACAATATTATAATCATGTACTGAATTAATAGGCATATTTCAAGCACTTCAGAACAATAATGAACTATAGCATGACAGACATAAGTCATTTTGAGATTCCATACCTGTTAAGTATTAACCACAGAATAAAACACCTTACCTTTTTTCTTCCCCATTTTACTGCATCAAATTATCTGAAACACAAAAACTTGAAATTATGAACAAATAACAGATTAATTATATGATTAGCAATTATCAAATTAAAAACGGGAAATTATAAAAAAAATCACAAACTAGTTAAATAATAAATTCATCATCATTTTTGTTGTCTTCATCACCATCATCATTTATCTTTATATGGAAACCATGTATGAGACTCATTAACCCATTTCACTGCTTGCATAAAGAAATCCTGGTGCTTAAATATTTACTGAAAATAATATAATAGAACAACAAAGCAAAATGACACGAATATCAGCATATTATCTGATATCGGCTGTTCGCAGTGCAGCGTACATCCAAAATGTAATTTTCTTGCCACTGGCACTCCAATGTACCTCAGATAACTTTAGCTGTAGAGAAAAAACTTCTGAGTATAATTAGTATGTTTGGTACACTTACCACACATTGCTAAAAAAAAATAAGTCCAGTGGACCATGCTTGGGTAAATGGGATGACTAAAATTTGGTCCTCCTCTACTAACACACTTATTCAGAAACTGGACATTCAATAACTGCTACACAAAGAAATCATCTGCAAAGTGCACAAACCTGCTACAAAATAGACTCAAATCAGTGAACTACATATGAGGCAGTGAAGGCTCTGATAACAGAAACTCTGTAATATAGTTAAATTTTTGTTGCAAAATTCAGTGTGTGGAAAACTGTAAGTCTTTAGTACACAGCTTATTTGTTTTTTATGGTTATTTTCATTTAAATAGGAAAGATATTTCATAACAGCAAAAATGTTCATAATTTTGCTTTACCTTATTCAGAGGGATGGATTAAGCACAACAGATTTATCAAAGTTGAGTTGCCTTCTTTTGGATAAGGTGATTACAAGCGAAAATTCTGACAATTTAATTGATTCGCTTTTCTCAGAGTGCGAAGTTTTAACTGTCAATCTTGACAAACCATCGATGAATATACTTATGTAGCTATCTATCGCAAAAAGAAAGTTTAACAGTTCCAGTCCCCCGTCTAAGGATCTTAAGTGTGTGTGCATTTGAAAGAAAATAATAAGCCACATGGTAACCTGAAGAAGGTTCCTAACTTTTATTGTGCCTGCCTGGTAGCAATTTATCCACTGAAAGTGTGTTTTCCAGTATGAATTACATGTATGTGGGCACAATAAAAGTCATTTTAGCAGCGAAAACGAACGACTTATGTTTAGCGTTTGCTGAAAATTCTTGCATCAAATCCTGTAATACTGAATAAGATAAATACTACGCCATCTTACGGGCCACGTCTTCAAAACAATCACTGTACTGTTGAAATAAATGTACATTACGTTTACAGCTTCAGAGCGTAGATTTGTTCACTACTTTCATGTACTCTCGCAACCACCTTCATTATATATGCCTAATTATTTATACTGTCCAACAACAAGGATATAAACAAACATAACTATTCTCGGAATATTATGTATCATTTAAATGGCAGATGTATACACCAGCTCCACCACTCGAAAACAATGTCCCCCAAAATGCCAAGAACATGGTCGCGTTACTATGGATGTAAATGTAACTACACACCCCATCATCATTGCTGTAAATCAATATAAAATTACTACAAACTGCAATAAGAATCTGCATAAATATATTTGTTTTTATCTAATCCAGTTCTCTTCCGTTACTTTTGTTCTACCTCACCTTTCCTTTCCGTACTCTTAATCGCTCTTAATCTCTCAATCTTCTATACTCACACACCAATGACGCTTATGACCGCTTATGACGCTTATGACCCTTATGACGCACCACTAGGGCGATTCACGTCGATCCACGTCTCCACGTCATCCACCTTTTTTTCCTCCTTGTATCACATGACATAATTGACATAAACACACTGGCTTCGAAACGCACACAAAACATACTACATGCCGATGTGTGCCATCTATGATTGGTATTGGTTACGCGTATAAATATGCAGGTGGACTCTATTGGTGGGAAACATTGGGAGGGGCACAAACTACTAAACCTACTAACGATGCAGTAGCGCCATCAAAAATTGCTTGATGCAAGAAAAAATATGAAATGAAATGGTATAATCATGTAGAGGCGATGCATTCTGAACCTCTGAACGTTTACCGAGGCAAGCACATTTTTACTGCCTTGCTAAAAGACAGAACACTGAATGTCCAAGAAGACGCTAAGGAAAACAATTCCTTTACTCTCGTAACGGGTCATAGATAATCCCTGTATTGGCAGTAGTAGTAGTACGCAAAAGGTGTTCTTATTTTTAATGGTTTCTCCGTGCAACTGCTATGGCGTAAATGAAAGCACTCGAAATTGCCAAGTGCGCAGATCATTATTGCCATCCTCTGCCAAACTGCATAAATTTGATCATATCTGAATATTTTATGTACACATTTTGTATTGTGACTGTATTGCATGTTGATGGGTCCATTGTTTTTATGTGTCTTTTTTTTTGGCATTTTGACATGTTCTATATCCTACGGCATGCGTGACCTAAAGGATTTACGGAATTTAAAATTAAATGAAAAAAAAAAATGAAATGGACGTTCGTCTACAGCAATCACAACACACGTATTATACACATATTTAGTTGAACCTATCACAGAGCCCATAACAAAGCAATTTGATTGTATGTTCCATTGGCGGCAGGTATGGTCTGTATTGTATTGTATTGTATTTATTTATTACATACAAGTTCCAGCACATCCATACAAGGCCGAAGCCATTGGATATAGAACCTGTCACATCACAAGCTTGCTAAATCAGCAAGTAGTCAACAGAACAATGCATATAAATCCACAACAATAAATCAAGTATATGAAACCCTACACATCACTGCAACTGCATAACCTACCATGTGTATATAAAGTATACTACAAAATTGGAACATATGCATGACAATAGATCAAATAATGGGTCATAGCTAAACAAGAAACTATCCCTAATTAAAATATTCATCTAAAGTGTAATAGGATGTAGTATGTAAAAAAGCACTTAAAGCTGCTCTAAATTGCTTAATATTATGGATTATCTCCTTTATATTTAAAGGAAGATGATTAAAAAGTTTAATACCAAAATAGTAAAGTCCTCTCTGGCAAATTGTCAAATTTGTCTGGGGGCAATAAAGATCAAAATTACGCCTAGTGTTAAGGCCATGAATTTGTGACGTCATGTGACACAAGCCCATATTATCTGTTGTCATCGGTTATGCAATAGTGATTCACAATGTATAATTTATTGCTTATTCTCTCCTGATTGGTAAGTATAGATTTTGATTTGATGTTGTGAAACAGGCATCAACGTTTATGTACGAAGTTATATCTCCATGTCACACATAATATTTTTGTATATGAATCTTATGCCTATTACACTGAATGAAATTAGAGATACATAGAATTCTATCATTCCAAAAATTCTTGTGGTTATGATGACATTACATCCAATTTACTGAAATCTTACACAGATTACGTGTGTATTCCATTCAACTGTCTTTGTAGTAACTGAACTGAAGTAAGTTCTTATTTGTGTTATGACATGTTCTACATCTTTCAGTTTGGCCAAAGAAGGTCTGCAGAAAATCAAGAAACTCTGACTGTATTACTGTATTGCTTCTTGCAGTACAAAATGAAGCAAAGGAAAGTACACTAGGCCTTGTGTGCTTTTCATCTAGTAGACAGAAAATACAGCATGGTTTGTCTATTTTAATTCATGATGTAATGGCTTTATTAAGCGTTGATTAATCATTGTCACTTCCATTAAGTTAGTGATAATTCCTGTGGCAATGATTACATTAATTCAGTTTCCTAACTGTAAGTAGCCAACAACAGGGGAGCACTACTAAATATACCCCAAAATTGAAGAAATGTTTACAAATCATGAAGGCCACTTTCCTATTACATATTTCTAGTCCTAGAACTCTTTTGTTGTGAATACACAGTTATACTTTTGATTTGTTTCATTCTGTTCTGTCACACTAATAATATTATGAAAAAGTTAAATAGTTCTGTCCACCAACGTACAAAATAAATACATTAAGGTAATGACATTCAAATACAGTGTGATAATGGTACTGTAAATCTTGACACCTTGGTCACACACACACACACACAGTCACATGTTTACTTCATAATAATCATAGGATACTGTCTACATATTTGATCAGTAATAGCTACTCACTCCTCACGACTCGTTCTTGAATGGTAGGACATGAAAGGCAGAACGACATCACACTTTTAGCAGTATGGAATCATGAACTTCACCTGGCTTTTCCTGTGTGATGCTTCCCTTTGTCAGCACACACCTTACATTTGCACTGTGATCTGCCTGACTGTCCAGAGTGTGCTGCTGGAATCCTGTATAGATATTAGTCTCTATCAAAGTCTTGCTAAAGGATTTGTCTGTAACGCTCCTCTAATTTTAGATCAATCATTACTGACTGGAACTTCTGCCACTTTTGAACAAAATTCTAAAGCCAAAAATGCTGTCTGCTTGTCTTTCCGTGTGAAACGCAGACGTCCATGAGAGAAAGGACAAAGAAGTGGAAGAAAGGTTTTGTTCACCATTTTACTAACATTCTTTGAAAATAATAACATACCAGCTGCCGGTTGGATTTGTCCACACTGATCTAATATTTATTATAGTCTATTACTGTTAGAGGTCTATTTTTTTTCTATAAAATCCCCTTGATTCCAGCACATCAATCATCCTGTCATCATATAAGTATACAAAATGATCTCTTACACCTCTTTATGCTGATAGTTTCTAAAACTTTCTTTGGTTTCTTTTATTTTCTTTCTGCCACTACAGTATGTAGTGTCCATAAATGGTCAAGGGTGTGGGGGCATGTGAACCACCAGTCCATGTACACTGCATAACCCTTATTTTTTTATGAGGTCACACAGTCTGTTCACTATGTTGAAAGAACTGTTGTAGTCAGGTTCTTTGGGTTGTGCACCAGCATATGCTTCCTTGTTGCATATGTAACCACTCTTTGCTTCATAAAACTCACATATTTTTGAGTCGTTCCTTTCACATGTACCCTGAAATGTGACCTTGAAATGCACAAATGGCCTCATTTACCACTGGAATTTCTTCTGGTGTGTACACTTCTTGAAACTTATCTGTCAATTTACTGAGAATGGGGCAAATTTTATACATGTATTATTTATTACCTGGTTGGCCCCAGGCTACATGGTTATCACTGTTAATTATGTAAAGCATTCTTAGGATGCCCATGAATACATCCTACTACATGCAACTGACTTTACACAATGAGTTTTAACAACTGGATATTATCTCGTACGTAGGGTTTGCATACCACACATGTAAAGCTGCTGCCAAAAACAGTTACATCCTTCCACTGGGCAAACACTGATTTTGGTTTCAATGGGTCTACCTGGTTTTTTGTGTGTGTTCTTTTGGTAGGAGTGCTGTTTTACATAGCTGTTTTTTTCGTCGCGAGAAATTTTGAAAGTCTCACTGTTGGAAAAAAGGCAGAATAATTCAAAATGGGTACCATCTTCTGCCATTCCTGGGCTACAACTAATTCTGAAGACCAGAAAATGTATGACTGTTTATTGGAGCAGTTCTTTGTCTCCATCATAATTCTGCAGCCATCTGTTTTCTCTTTGCTGCTCATTTCAGTTTTTGCCTTATTTCTGACTGCATGCAAGGAGATGCAATTTCCTTGTCTTCCTCATCAATAATATATGAGGCTGTTCGGGACTTTCAGTGTCTTCTGGTATGTGTTGTCTGTAGTTTTGAATTCATCAGAATCTGAATCATTTACTACTGCATTAATATTACCAGCAATACAGACTAATATCAATATCTGCACTTGCCCTAACATTTTCCATTCCATATGGACTGCATTACAAAATGAATTGAGACAGTATATCATCCAATTGCATGGAAAACTATTCCTAGGACAGTACCTGACTGGGCCTTCATCCTTGATTCAAATTTTAGCATGAGAACAGTTTCTGATTTGGGGGACATAATAAATGCGGAGCCTAACTTTGGGTGGTACCACTTCACATTTCTAATTTCCAGTATGCAGATGAATCTGAAATATAAAACTATAAGCTTCTTTGAGTTGTCAAACAGTGAAAGTTTTACATCAATATGGCAGGTAGTTTCTTTTACCACAGGTTTTTTAATTTTGTGGTGGCAGTTGTGCTGTTGTTGGTTTCCTGGTGAGGCCACCTGTGTGGTATATGGGCTCTAGTTGCATTTAAAGTGTTAAGTGAAGAACATGAACTTAGAGATGTTTGGATCTGAGAATCAGAAAGTAACATGATGTTGGACAAAATTGCATAATGAGGAAATTCATAATTTTTACTTGTCATACAACATTACTATGATGATCAAAATCAAGGATGATGTGGGTTGGGCACATAGCACATACAAGAGGAAACATGCACACAAATCTTTGGTTGGAAAACCTGAAGGGAAGAGACATAGGAATAAATGAGAAGACATATTAAAATGGGTCTTAAGGAAAACAGATTGTGAGGGAATGGACTAAATTAATTTGGATCAGGAAAGGGTCCAATGGCAAGCTCTTGTGAACACGGTAGTTAAGTCTTTCAGTGCCATGGAAGGTGGGAAATTTCACTAGCTGAGCATATATTATCTTCTCCAGAAGGACTCTGTTACATGGTATTAATTAGATCAACTTGAAGTCACACAGTTGCTGGAAGACAAATATTTATTATCAGAGAGCTTGACCTTACACACATTAAGTGATATTGAAGCAGGAAATCGAAAATATATTGAGGCATCTTGATTCACAGGACCATGTAGTGTGCCTTGCAGTGTACTGAAACAGAAAAAAGCTATTAATATAAACACCAATGGCAAACACAATAAAACAGGTACATTTCATGCCATACCCAAGGTCTGCATTTATACTGTGTTCATGGACTTTATTAACATATTAAATAAGACATGTACATTTAATGAGTATGTATAACTTTTATTCAAGGCTTTTCATATTACCAGAATACTTACTGAGAAAAGTCAAAGAATGTATTAGGCCCTTAAGTACTATAAAATGAACGAAGTTTGCTCAATGTATCGAATGTAAACAGAACTGGCATACATTGAAAACTTCTATTTGCTGTTTCGCATATTTCCTAAAACAGGTGTAAAACTGAGGAAAATTGAAATCAAGGGAATAACTTTAAAATGCAGAAAAGGTCCTATAGCTCTCACTGTAATGGACAGCACATGTATATTCTAATGAACATACTTGTATTTCATATTATTATTTAAACACAAATACTGAAACTTTGGTGAATACTAATATCAGTGTTGAAATTTTCAAGTAAATTACTTCTTTATATATTGGTAGTTATGTATGTACACTTGGTTCTGAACTCCATAATTTTATTACAAGATTTAAGTATGTACCATCAAATCAATTACAGACAAGAACTTTGTATGAATACATCATTAAGAATATTCTCACTTATTTAAATCCTAGTAACATTAAGCAGTAAATTGACCTTTACATGATCAATAATGTCTTGTGATTTAGTGTGACTATAGATGGGGTTTTGATCGGTAATCAGATTTACTGAAATCTTACAGAATGTAACTACAAATAACTACAGCACTAACGCTAATTCACACACTTTGCACTTCACTACAGCATGGACGAAGTCTTCTTAGTCTGCTGATCTTCACTGGTTGCTGCCTGGTAACAGTTTCCAATGCCATAGCTTCCTCAACTCCTCTGTTCATGTCCTTACTGCCTGGTGACTGTTTTGCAACTCACTCATTGTGACTAACTCCCAGAGTCATCAGACAAGAAAATGTGGTCATGAGTCCTGTGGGACTCGGAACCAAGGATGACTGTGCTGGTGGAGGCCAGCAGAAATTTACCAGACCATACCAAGTTAGTTAGTCAGTTGCAGTAATGAGCTGTTTGCAATCCAACATCATCCAGCGAGGACATGAGACCAGAAGCAGAAAAGTACCCATTGGTGGGAGCTGCTACCTACGAACTCCTGAATGTTTGGAGTAGTGAGTTTTAGAGTGTGTACATCTGTGAAACTCTTATAGATACCTGTAGTTGTGAGTTATAAGTATTCAGTAAATCCAATGAGCAATCCAAACCCCATGTCACTAACATATGATGGTATGTTTCAGAAGATCTTTAACTCTTTAGTTCAGAAAATGCTAGTCACAATGAGAATACCGAATTATATTTTTTTTCATATCCCCATGATAACCTCTAAAAAGAGGAAAAAACTTTACCACACCTACATTATTATTCCAACATTAGTGTCATAATGTATTACACATGACTGGAAGTTAGGAGATGGACTTGTAGTTATGTACTTCAGTCATGTTTGCATATTATGAGTATTGATAGAATTAGCAGTCTTCTGAATTTCATAAATTTTCATGACACTGAGGATACACGGCAGCATATTTTTACCTCAACTTTTTGTCATTAAGTTTTGGTTATATAGGTAATTATTCATCAAATCCATGTATCTCAGCATGGCATATACTGAATATGTCAGTTTTAAATTAATGGTTATTTGGTATGGCAAGATGACTAGAAACAGCAAGGCATTAAGAAAGAACACATTCCTTCACTGGCCTAGCCAGCAAACCGAAATTTGCTTCCCTTGGCCTCTTCGGATTGGACGAATTACGAAGATTAACGAAAGGAAACTTGGTCCGTCCCACCCAGCAGGGGAATGGAGGAGGAGGCATGTGGCCTTGAGCAGGAACACGCGCTACATGACAATATTCACATCCTTATTATTCAAACTGAATTATTTATATATGACTTCTTTTCTTTTCGTTTCTTAACTACGGGAGCAATGCTTCCCTTACTTCCATGCACAGCACGCCACTGCCTTAGAACTTCCAAATGGGTTTTATCAGAAGTATAACATGTTTCAGCCATAGTATTACTTACCAATGAATTCTGAGACAGGATCATTCTCCCCATCACCCCTCATCGTGCCAGTGATTTCTTCATTTTCAACCATGGGCAGGAAAAGCTGCACAAATTCAGGTGTATATGGTGGTGCAATAGCTTCCAGCACCTGTAACACACAGTGTACTTTACTATAATAATTAAAAGAATACAGCAACAGACCACTCAACACCATCATAATTATCCATTGACATTTTGGCATTTCCATCACAGCTGTCATCCCATGATGAAATCTTCCATTCCTCATTATCAGGGCTCGAATTTTGATGACCTGAAAATATTTAAAAAATGACCTATAAAATGACCTAAAATATGACCCAAAAATGTAATATGCAGGGCCCGAATTTTTATGACCTGAAAATAATAAAAAAATAACCTATAAAATGACCGAAAAAATCCAGAAAAATGACCTAAAGGAGAATAGAAAGAACACTTTGCTTCCATGTTATTCACATTTCAGAAAACATATGAAGATAAATTCCCTAAAATGGCCAAAAGTGACAAGAAATACCCTTAAAAGTCCAAAAATTTACCAAAAAATTACCCCCAAAATGAAAAAATGACCTTAAACCTAAAAATGTCAAAAAATTACCTATAAAATTTACATTTTTGTAACCAGCAGCTCATATCCAAGATTTATATATTTAAGAGCATCACACAGGCTACAAGGAAAAAAAGATGACATGTCATCAAAATCCAGGCCTTGCTCATTATATATCCATATGTACATACAGCAAGGCAGAGTTATGGTAAAAACTGATATTTCAGAGACCTACTCTGTCTACTTCATCAGGGTCAAGCTAAGAAGATTTTAGTGCAATTTATTCAGTATCATGGCTTCATATCTTACTCCAACAAAGACTCCTACATATATCAGTGTCAACTCTTTCCTCACTCTAACTTCCATCATTTGGTCTGTCTGTCTTGTCACTGGTCTCTCGAATGGTTATTTCTTCAACATCTTAATTTCTGATGCTCTGAAAGGGTCTCTAAATTATTTAATTTTAATCATCTTCAAATAAATCATATCCACAACGCACTCACTGCAATTTTAGCCCTCTTGGTGGCAGAAAAACACAATAGCAACTGCATGAGTCAGATTTTATAGTTATCCTGTCACATAAATGAAATATTACTTGCAAAACATAATTTGTTGGAAAGCTAGAACACTCTGAAATTGTATGAATCATTATGAATAATCCTGCATATGACTGATCAAATTCTAAAATATTTCATGACAATGTTTCAACTGTTTTGAAGCTATATAGGGCTAAATGAGCTAGGAAGATGATCACGAACAGTGTAAAATTTGGAAGGTGGAAGCTGAGACATACTTCAAGATATTATCATGGAATCTGTTTGGGGACAGTGAGAAAAACCATGAAACTCTCAACAGGAAAAGCCAGCAGCATAGTTCTGGCCAGATTCAAACTTGATTATTTCCCACATAAAAGTCTAATGTTCACACTACAGTAACTGTATGTATTTACCTCTGTGACAAAGTAACGTATAAGGGATATGTCGGTGTCACCACGTAACCAACACTGCTTGATGTACTTCACCACTGGCACCACACAACCTCGACTCAAGAGATTCACCATGCGATCCAGCAGCATTTTTCTCATCTCCAACTGCACAATTTACAACACAATTATTATCATAAAAGTGCATGTCAGTAGCTGACACAAAGATTCAACACCACCAAAACCAAAGTCAGCCACTGGTCATGATCTCAAACCAGATATATCCATCTCCCATCCTCACAACTATGTCCCTAAGATACATTTTAATGTATATTAAATCTTCCACATGTCTGTTTTCCAAGACACTTCATCACCGAAGCTTTATATGCATTTCTTGTCTCCTCCACTATAATACATAGAGCCTATTGCAGCCTCAATGATTTCATTAGCCTAACAATAGAACACTGCCTCTACAACAATGAACTTAGTTCTTACATAATATTCTGAACTGCCCATGCACTTCATCTCTCCTAGTTTTAAGTATTTTTAACAGAAATCTGTAATATATGTTCTTCCCTCAGAATATGAGATCAAGTTTCACACCCCTACAATAACACTGGTAAAATTACTGTTTCATATACTTTGATCTCAAAAGTATATATGGCAAGTTTCTGAGACATACGTACTCACAATTCCCAGAAGTTTACCTTCTCCAATGCTGCATAACATTTCAAACCAATGGAAAGGGCTCTGTATGTACTGGGATACACACATACCTGTACCAGGATCTCCAGTTCATCCTGTTTTGACTCAAATAGCTGAATTAACAGTTGGAGGACCTTTGGATGAAGCAGGAGATGACATGTGACCACCTCATCGAGAAGAGCCAAGTGGATTGGCGTGTGTTCTGTACAAAGTTTGAAATAGCTAGGTTCTGTGACTGTACTTTCCACCCATCGCACCACACCAACTGATACTACGGGGAACCTACCAACATAATTATACAGTTATATTATTTTGAAGCTTTGGAGCTGAGGAGTAGAAAGATATATTTCAGTCTGGATAAGGATTTCAGATGTCCCAATTTTTGTGGGACAATACCAAATTTGAGGGGTGTGTTCTGTGGCCTGCTTAGATATATGGCAGCGCACACTAGGGGGGGGGGGAGAAAACTCCGTGGCTTGAGTCCGCATGATAACTATACTAACTGAGCGATCACCGCTTGCTCGTGAAGTTAGTGCCAACTTTAGTGGATAGAGGGTGTTGCATGGTCAGTGCACTGAATCCCCATAGCTGTTATTTCGGTTTTCTAGACTGGAGCCACTATTTCCTTTAAATAGCTCCTCAGTTATCCTCACAAGGCTGAGTGGACCCCGTTCCAGACCCACTATTTATCAGAAAATCTGGTAGTGTAAGGAATCGAACCTGGGATCTCTGGATCTGTAGCCAGGAACTCTTGACCACTAGACCATAGAGACAGTCACACACAATGTACTGCTTTTCAGAATTTTGGATTGCACAAACAGAAGTCAAGTTTTTTCTGCATTGGTTGCTGTGAGTTTTAGTATGTATATCTTCATCTTGATATTTTGTATTATCATTGTATAAAATAACATAACCAGGACAATTTGTAGTGGTTTTGTTGTCATCAATCAGAGGAGGTCAGAGGACAACCTTTGTCCGATAATTCTCCAATATATATGAGTTATTAATATACAATCCCTTACAAAAAATTCCTATTTCCTGGTAAAATAAAAAAGCCACCTTTTTTTGTATCATTCATTAACCTTTTCATTCTACGTATTGTTTAGTTGGCCAGCATTGTTAAAAGACACATGCATGTTACAGGAATTTGGATCTTAGCAACATCTCCTATATGGTTAACTACACACTTCAACTCCTTGCAAATTCATTCGACAAATTTTCAAGAAGTTGAAATAACCAACAGTATACACCAGGAAAACCTTCACATTCTCTTTGATTTCCTGGTCACATTAAATTGCTATGATATCTGTCTGCCCATCCCTATAAAAAGTATCACATCTCATGATTTTGATGTTTTCTTAGTGTTTCTTGTGTTTTTTATCTTTATGATTTCATGATTCTCATCTTTGTCATTTTCTTGTTCTTAATTTTGGTGTCAGACTTCCAGTACCCTCCCCCCAGTTTAAGAAGATATCCACTGTCTGGAGCACACATACACGTTTCAAAGAACGAACGATTATATTTTTAAAATTGTATTACAAAAATTAATACAAGTTCAAATAGTTCTGAGAGAAACTAAGCTTCTCACCTAAATAACTTTAACCTGGGTCCTCTTTTTTGCCTGCATAATGTCAGTCCAATATTTGAATGCCCAGAAAACAATGCCACATCTGTGATGGGATTCCTTCTACAGCACAGACTGTGAGCCATAAAATCTTTATATACAAATGACATTAGTGGAGGAGTACATCTGTGGTTTACTTACTTCCAGAGGAAGCAGTTCATGACAGTTAAATCAGGAGACCCTGGAGGCCAGTGGATTTTGTATAAGCAAAATATGAAATGTTTGTGCTACATATCACACATTATGGACTCGCATGTGTTGAAATCTCAACTTGCTCTTTGCACTGACTTTCTTGGGTTCTGAACAAAATTCTGCCTTATGGCTTCACTTTACCTTGTGATAGTGCTAGCAGTCTGGGGTGCTTTCTTTTCTTTATGCTCCTGGTTGTTCTGAACTGATCTACTACTAGGGGACATTTTTATTAGAAAATATGTTTCATTGTTAAGTCATTCTGAAATTCCTTTTAACACTTTTAACTAATTCTGTCTCTGCCAACCACCACATACACAGCCTTCTGTTAGCTAGACACTATTTTCAGAGCAACTACCAACTGGCCCCTGCTTTCTCTCTGCCATTGCTAAGTTTGCTACATGTGCACATCCATGTGTGCTCAGTAGAACATGTAGCAGTTCTTTTTTCATCTGCTGAAAACTGCACTTTTGTAGCTTTACTGACTTTCACAATAAAATTCTATGAAACGTGGTCATTCTTGAAGAGTTCTATCTTATGGGACATAATGCCATGTAGTCCGTTGGAAGTCAACTGATATTTCAGAGGAACATGTCACATCCATATTCAGGGTGAAATGTCCCTCTCAAATGTTAGTTGACTTTCATGGACTAAACGCCGCTATATCCCAGAAGCTAAGACTCTTAATAACCACCACTGTGAGAACCTCAAATCATACCGTGTGGTCATTCATACTTTGATGTCCTACATTTTCCAAACATGTTCACTGAAATGTTGTGCACTCATTAGGGCTGATGTTCGTTCATTGTGGACACACACACAAAACCAATCATACAACAGATATCATACAGCAAGTAATCAATTACTAGTCATTATATTTGTTCAATATTCATTAATGTTCAACAATGCAATGCAAGACATGTTAGGTTCTGGATCTAAGAAAAATCACCACTGCTTCACCATTTTGTGAATTAGGAGACGCTAGGATCACTGGCTTACTGTTGCATGATTCTTACCTGATACATTGATATAGAGTGCTCAGTTCAGCTATGAGTTCTGCTGAACCTCTGTTTATGTTACAAATGCTATGAACCTTCTCAATTGCCTGGATTGTAGCCTTCAGCTCCTCCTTATTGAGTGTCTTGCGTGCTGGCTGTCCCTTCTTGCCAGATGAAACCTCACACACACTAGCAGCATAAGCCAGTAGATAGATATACTTTGGTTTGTGTTCTGGATTTAGTTTTATGCCTGGTTTAAACAATGAGTCTACCAGCAGCTCTGCAACATATCACTTTGTGTTAATGTTACCATGGAAACAGACTGTAGACAAAGGAACAACTGCCAGCAAAAATACAGTAACATTACTTAACTATAATGAATTCTGAGGAATGGCTCAAAAGATATGTTGCAGATGCCAATTGGGGAAAGTTGTAGATTGATACAGGAATAAATTCATATAAAAGGCTAGTTATTGTTGTCACCCTTTTGCTTTCTAAAATATTAAAGGTATGTATATGGTAAAAAAAAAAAGGTAAAGCTATCCCTGTAACAGGCCCTGGAGGCCCATAGGGTTGTAAGACATTGAGACTCTGACATATTCTGGACAATCGGCTCACAGATGGTGATGAGGCCGTCAGCCTTATGCACCAGCCGCCCTTTACACCCAGGAAGATTCCTGGTACCCATTTCTGTTAAAGAGGCTGAGTCGACCCCAGGTCCATCTGTGGCTGGAAGGATGAGGTCCAGAGTGACCTCACTGGGAACTGAACCCATGACCTTCTGGCTTGTAGCATAGTGCCTCAACCAACTACGCTACCACGTGGCCCCAGTATGTATAGGGTATCCCACGAAATGTCTGCCACACTTAGGTCAATAACTGGGTTACAATGAAAGAAAAATATTACATCAACATCCTGAATCAGGTTTCGATCTGTTATCGTTGTTCCCAAATATTTGAACAGTGCCACATTTTCAAAACATTTGTTTTCTATCGTTATGTCACGATTTTGCCCTGTATTTTGGTGACAAGACAGCAACATATACTTAGTTTTCTCTGTGTTTACTTCTAGACCAACCACCTTACTTGCATCAATTAAAAGTTGTGTGTTTTTCTTTATGGTACCTATATTATCACCCAATAGATTCACACCATCAGCACAGACCAACAGCTGATGTGGCCTGTTTAATTTCAGACCCACCTGGTTTTCCTGGGCCTTCCTAATGGCATATTCTAAAGCGAAGTTGAGAAGGAGTGGGGATAAAGCATCTCCTTGTCTTAGACCATTCTGGATACGAAATTTATCAGACAAATGTTTACCTATATGGACTTTACCATAAGTTTCGTTTAAAAACATTTTAATCAGCTTAACTAGTTTCATGGGTATCCCAAACTCTATCAGAATATTGTACAATACTTCCATCCTAACTGAATCATAGGCTTTCTTGAAGTCTACAAATAGCTGATGTACTGTCTCATTGTACTCCCAACTTTTTCCAATATCTGATGAATGCAAAAGATCCGATCTGTAGTTGATCTGTTATGTCGAAACCCACACTGATGATCCCCAATAATTTCATCTATATATAGGCTTAACCTTGAGAGACAAACTTCATATATCACCGGAAAAAGAAGTAAAGTGAATTGAGGTCTGATGAATGGAAAGAGAGCTCTGCAAAGGCATAGGGGGAGGTGGGCGGAAGCAGCTGAGGGTCTTGTCCCATGGTAACCTATGTTATTAGCAATGTTAAACCTTCAGGCTATGTTACCAGAAAATTCATTAGACAGTTGAAACAATAATGCCAGGATAAGGTAAATACACGATATAGTTCTTCACTGATTTCTGTACATTGTTACTTAGTTGAAATCAGTTCCTGGTTTTTACATCAAACAGTTGTCATTCATTAAAAGTATGATAGCTAACGAACTGTGTGATGCCATGAAGCATACAATATATTCCACACAGCACTCACCCAGGAACTGAGGAGTTCGAACCAAGTCAATAGGTGGTGGATCCATGGCAGAATAGTTGCGGAATAATACTGTAATGTCAGCTGGGTTCAACGTGTTGCGTGACAGCATGGATGTGAGTGCCTGACATGCTTGTGGAAACCTCGCAGCACCATTCAGTGCCATCGTGATGGGGGTTACATCATGCTGGCTACCACAACAGAGAATAATAAAAAGGATGAAGGTAAATCTGTGCCTGTAAATAAGTATGATGACATGAAGGGATATAAGGGATATGGAAGTAAAAAAACACATATTCTACACCTCAGGAGATGAAGATGAGTCACTTTTTTTTGTTTAAATTACAATTCTGTCAATATCTCAGACTATACAGCGTTGGATGGTACACTGACTGATGAATAGTTAATTGGAAGGGAATTGGAAATAAGCAATCAATGCTTAATAAGGATACTATCCCAGCATTTACCTGGAGGGACTGACGAAAACCGTTAAAAACCTCACTTGGGATGTATGCATGTATTTACAGTGGGTGCCCAGAGTTACATAAGTGGGTTCAACCGCATAATACTCGAGCAAAATTGTACAAACTGGATCAGACAGAAATCCAGATGGGCCATCTGGTAATTCATTTACTCCTTTGTCATTGCCAGTATAACCCAAATGAATTGATATGGCTAAGGTGAAGGATGAAGTTGTACAATACAATAATATGTTTATAAGAGTAGACAGTGAAATACTTATTAATAAAACCCTGGTCAGGGATACAAAGGAAAACTGGGTATCAACAAGCTGATCAGATACAGGAGGAAGATTTTCATAAAGTAATATTTCTGGACAAAGTAATATGGCAGAGCATTGTAACATTAAGAGCAACACTGACTCAGATTTCAGATAGGTTGAGGAGAGTGAAACAAGCATCAACATGAGCCTCTAGTTCTTCCTTTGTGGGTTGGTGACAGGTAGTAACTGCAGTTTCAACAAAGTTATACATCTATGACTAAAGGTGACAAATATTTGACTTTTCATCCTTACAACAGCATCAGGAGTTAGTGCTACCACACTGGATTTAAATGGACAGCACTGGTCTTGTTACACTGTTCTCACACACAATGTGTGGCAGCAGCATGCTCTACATTCACTGGCTTATCTCACATGCCTTTAACTTTTGCATGTAATATAAGCATGTACCAACACTTATTCACTTGGTAATAGCTCAGCCTTATCGACTGCTGACCACAGGTAATTTCATGTATAGTGACATTCTTCCAAGTGATACATGTTCAAGAACAGAGGCCCCAGACATAAACAATAAGCTCAGGGAAGAATCTGTAATGCCTGCTTTCCTTTAAAAACTTGAATCCTCATGGTGAAGCAGGCAAGGACTATAAATTAACAATTATACAATTCAGAAAAACATTTCTGGCATAATTCCATTATTACAAATTCATCCTACACATATGTTAAATTTAATGTTCCATACAGAATTGTAACTGTTTATAACAAACCTCAACACAAAATTTCAAACAAATAGCTCCAATGGTTCATTAACTGCTGCCATGTAGTAGGAATTTAAATATGAACATCATGCAGCCACCTTCCTGAATTCCACTCAGTTACAGTAGATATTAATGACAGCTGCATGAATGAATGAATGAAAGTATAAGGGGTGGGCTTGATAGTTGCATACTTTTGAAACTCTATTACCACACAATGCTTCAAGTTCTTACATGAAATCACAAACCTTTCTTTCCATACAAAATATGGGAAGTGGAATAAAAATCCACCATTTTTATAAAACTACATATATGATGATAATAACATAGTTCAACCTTTACCAGCCATATGTTCCATTATTTTGAATGTGCATGAGTACAGTGCTGCTGGCCAAATGTTGCGCTTTTTTCAATACTAACATATTAAAATTGAGTTAAAATACATCCATCAACACTGTGAAAATTGGGAGATTTAAAATTACTTATTCCCTTTCATTAAACAGTTACAATTGAATTTAAACATGACCACCAACCTCACAGTGTCAGACAACTTAAAATTCTTGTTNGTTGGTCACGTGTGTAAGTCCAAATCCCACTTCTGACACCAATGTATCGTGTTTCGTTACTGAAGATGCCGTAGAGGTCGTTAAGTGCTTTATTCAACAATCTACAACTGTCGGCTACAATTAATTATAACAATGTTACGGGTTTCCACAGTTTACAAACCCTACAACAAAATCTCTTAACACAATCTTCACTTGTCTTCACGTACTAATAACGCGGGAGCTATACAAGTCTCCCTCAATTACACACTCCAGATATAACTGGCTATCCCGAACTATCACTGATTCNCACACGCGTCTGTAGCTCGTAACTTGCGAACTGAGAACTCGTTGGTAACGCACTGACTGGCTCGCTTTACGACTCGACTCGGCGACTGTTACTTTATAACTGAAGTCGCCGACTGCTACAGTAGAACTGACTGGTACCTGCTGTGCAGCTCACTTATATAGCTGCAGTGCTTGCCGGTTGCGTAATGAGTGCAACGTCACAGTAGGAAGTTGATTACGGGTACGTAGCGTTGCGCGTTACGTCACCGCGTAGGGGAGTGGCGGGGCGGGAACTCGCTTATTACCGTAGTAACGCGAGCGTTACGTTACGGC